AGGAGAGAGAGAGAGAGGCATGGTGAAATCATACACCCAGGAGCACATCTACAAGCACCCATGGGAGCGCGTCACCTCCGCCTGCTGGCGGAAATTCACCGACCCAGAAAACACTCCTTATCTCTCTCACATCCTCGAGGTCGACACTCTCAATCGCTCTCTGGATCACGAAACCGGCAGACTGCACACCACCCGCGCCATCACTGTCCACGCCCCGGGACCACGGTGGATCCAACGGCTCATAGGACAGGAAATTTGCAGGTGCGTCGAAACCTCCACTGTAGACCCCAAATCTAAATTCATGGAGTCCACTGCAAAAAACGTGAGTCTTAGGAGATTCATAGAGGTAGAAGAGAAGTGCATGTATAGGCCTCACCCTGAAAACCCTAATTGGACATTGTTTGAGCAAAAAACCAGTATCAAGTGTTCTCCTCTCTCTACTTTGGCTTCAATGGCTGAGAGGATTGAGCATCGATGTGCAGAGAGGTTTTTGCAGAATAGTGTGAAGGGGAGAGAGGTTATGGAGAGGATCTGCAAGTATTTGGAAGCTGATTCGACAAGTATTGGGATTTGATCATGGTTTTTTCGAGGTCTTCGAATATATATTTTCCTTTGTTTTGAGGTTTTGGGAGATGCATAGCTTTTATTTAGGGTTTTTTGTTTTTTGTTTTTATTGTTGCCCTTTCTCTTTTTTCTTTTTTTTCTTTTTTTTAAGGTTTTGGGATTTTTAGATCGGTTGGTGATGAATTTCTCTGAGTTGATATCTGTGAGAAGAAGAATTCATATGAGTTGAGAATGAGAATGATAGGGTATTAGGGCTCTGGGGAATAAGGATGCTCGGGTTTTCAAAGGAGGTTATTAATTGATTTTTTATCAGAGAGATTTTAGGGTTTGGTGATGGTGGGATACTGTAATTTTAGGGTTCGGAATCTTTGATATCCAAGATTAGGGTTCCTTATTTCTGTAATTGTTGATGAATGTAGGGTTATTGGAGAGTGGAGACAGTTTTGTAAGCTAACTGTTTGATGAAGAAAAAAGTAGTTTTACCCAGCTATTAATAGTTCCATGGGTTGTCTTTTGTATGGAAAAACAGTGAATTATTGATCTGAAGGTGTTGGTATCGAGGAATTTTGTTTTTTTTGCTTTGAATTTTGATCTATTGCAGAAAACTGTTGATTAATTTAATAGAGATGCGAGCGTAAAAAATGCCAAACTGTAAAATTAGGTTCTGAATTAAATACATGTATCCGCATCCATTACAGAGATGGTGCCCGAAATGCCAACTTCAAAAATTGAACTTTAATATACTTGACATTTCCGAACTTCATTTAGATAAATGGAGACTGGGATTTAGGTAAAATTTAAGAACTTCTATAACAAAATTTCAACAAGAACAATTAACAATAAACACAATTTCAACAAAAAAGGCTTACTAGTGTTTAATTTTGAAAGTGTCAAACAACACCGCAGCTTCGGCCATAGCAGCCCGAAGCGGCAGGATCACGCTTCTCTTCGCTTCGGTTTATACTTAAATTCCGAAGGCTTAGGCCACAGCGAAGCAAATTTGATAACATTGCTAAATTCCGAAGGCTTCGGCCAAAGCGAAGCAAAATTGATAACATTGCTATAGACTCGAGTGTCTATATTAATAGGAGGCAGGCATATTAAGGCAAAGACAAGGGCTCCAAAGACTACTTCTTTAAAGTTTCAATTATTGTGTGATAGAAGAGGAATGGTCTTGCCTAGTTCAATGATTGATAGGAGCTTAGTGTTGTGGAGGTGGGTTTTGTGAGGAATAGACATAATCATCAATAAGCCTTGTTAATATTAGGATTTGGAAATTTAAATTAGTTGTAATTTGGAGTCTTGGTTCTGAAGTCTCAACTGGTTTGCTTTGATGGTTTTCTTTTCCTTGTGAACCAATTAGTACATGAGATCGTTTCTTTTATTGGCCTCATACTATGCTCTTTTCATCTTGTGTTCATTGAGCTGCAATTTTGGCAACATATGTTGCATTATTAGAAAATAGGACGTTCAAGTGAAGTGAAAAACAGCTCCTTCCTTTTCCTTCATCAGAGTAAATCAGTGTAGACTTCGGTTCGAGATGAAATGTGGTGGAACATGTAAAATGTTACAGGGGTGTATTAAAGATATGCTATAAATGTTTGAGGAAGTCTGAGAAGTTACAATAGATCATGAACTAGTGCACAGCAGAAAATGAAATGGCAATCACCCAAATTTCTGAGCTGCCTCAGAATTTCAATAACTTCCTATGGTAATTCCTCTTCATTTTGTGTACTCTATGGCGAAGTACAAAAATCAGATGAAATCATGAAATCCATTTCTAGTAGCCAAAAGTGGCCAAATTTTCAGCAGAATGTTTTAGTCCTTGAGGATATTTCTTGATAAATTCAAGACGACAATAGAAAGTTTTAATTTATTTTTGCTATGGCAAATTTGTCAGCAAAATAATAACTTCCAGAAGGAAAATCTTTTAGCCGCACCATAACCCCCTGTCGCCCCTCCCCACCCACCAATCCTCTTCACAGATGGAGGACTCAAAACCCTTATTGAATCCTTGCAATTACATTCCATGATACACAATGGTTAGAAGCCTCTGAATGTTGCGATAACAATTACGATGGAGAGCTTTTACAGCTCAAAAATTCTTTCTTTTCAGAAATCGTAGAGGTCGTCAAGTTGACCAATCTGCAAATATTTGAGCTCCCAATCTATCAAATAGGTATTTTTTTAGGGGGGTTGAGGGGTTGGGATCTCAACCAATGTTATTAGATTCTCCTGTTCCTTTTCTTCCAAACAAAGATCGCTCTGAAGCGAATCTGGTATCACTGTTCTGCCCTGTCCTTTACTATAATAGGAGGAAGAGCACTCGTGTTTGCTATACAATCTATACTACCTGTTAATTACCGTAAGTGTGAGTTTGTGGGGTTATTGAGGCAATCTCAGCTCTTCCTATGCTTCCTAGAAACCTCCTACAATCTTTACATTAAAGCCCACTCCAATAATACCTCTACACTTAAATGAGAAAATCGCTTTATACAATGACATGTCTCTCTTCTGCCTTGCAAACTTTAACACTTTCTATAATTTGTGCGTGCATGAATTCCTTTCCCAGAGTTATGTTTGTATTTCACTCTCGAAACCTCCTAGAATTTCGGTATATGAGTCACCGACTCATATATCAGCCCTGGTTATCAAGGGCTTGGAACCCATCATACATCCCAAATCACTGTACATCTAGTTCTGTGGCTTCTGCGTCATAGAAAACGGAGTTCAAAAAAGAATGGTACGAGATGGATCCTCTTTAAGGCTTGAAACTCTTTTATATTAATATTCATTATTGTGGTGGTGTAGATGATAATGGATTCAAAATCAATTTATGGAAGGGTCAAAAGAGTAAGTGATTTCCTAGATAAACCTTAGCCTTTTCTATAACTACTCTCTTGTATCATCTTTCGCATTTGTTATACTTTCTTCCCAAAATGTAGAAGTAGATGAAAGAAGTTTAGACATTAGTATTTGTTTCCTTTTTTTTTTTATGGCATTAGTATTTGGAATCATGATGATAGAGTAATAATAGAGCTTGATTCGATGTTTGTTTTATGATAATCGATCTTACTTAATTCCTTGTAAGGTACCTCATCTATTTACTCAAATCTTATTACTCTCCATGATTATGAAACCATATTCTTGGTGGTTGCCTATGGATGTAGCCCAAATTGGGTGAAATAAGTAGAATCATAGATATCCATATTAGTGGTGTTTAAATTGTAATTTGCAGAATGCAGTCATGGTTTTGGTGTTTCTCATTTCTCTTTTCTTTGTTAGTTTCTATTTTCCTAAATTCTATTGCCCCAAATGTTGTTCTTGGATGTTGAAGTTTTATAAAAAAGTTGACTTTGATATTAAAAGAAAGAGATATATACTATAAGATCATTTACTTTTGGTACAAAGAAGACAATCATTTTTAGCTACTAAATCTGAAATTAAACACAGAAGTGTATCACAATATTCAAAAAAATTTATTTGGGATTTTGTCCCCCTATCAATGAAAGATACATCCCCAACCATCCAATTTTACATCTAATGATCAATAATGACTCTGATTTCTTTATACCGAAAGTGAAAGCTCTCACTGGAGAAACCATTTATCTTTTGTACATGGAGGTCACAATCATTCTTGTTTCTTGATTTTCAAAATGGGTGGTAGTAGGAGCATAATTTATTAGAAAATTCCAAAAAAAAGTTATCGGACTTCGTGACTCGCTCCAAGCTATCCAATCTGGCAGTTAATAAATGGGAATAATTGTGATATTTATGTACAAAAGATGCATGGTTTCTTTGTAGAGGATCCCATAACTTAAGGTGAAAAGCAAATGAATGTACTGCTCTCTTTGTGGAGAATCCCATAACTTATGGTCTCTTTGTGGAGAATCCCATAACTTATAAGGTGGAAAACAAATGAATAATTTAAACTTTCTTTGAAGAAATTATTGAATCAAATTGATACTCCACAGCTTTTGAAAACTCTAGCATCAATTTCCATTGGAACCTAATGGCGACTTCTATATAACAATCTAAACTTAAGGAAAGGCTTTAAAGCTCACAATTTACAGGTTACCAAGTGATACCCCGATGCACACAAGTCGGTGCCTAAATCTCCATTTAGAGAATCCATCGATGTCGTAGGTTTCATGTGTTCAGATTCTAGCAATATCTTTTTTTTTTCTTTTTTTTTTGACCAATATTATTAATTTTATTAGAAACTAATCAAAAGAGATTACATAATCAGAAACAACAGAGAGATGAGAGATCATATCAGATTACATAATCACAATCAAAGAGAAAAGGCAAAGAGATCCCCTTTTAGCCAGATAGTCAGCCACATGGTTTGCCTCTCTATAAACATATGGTTTGCCTCTCTATAAACATGCAAAAAGGACAAAGTATCCATAGCTGCCAGCCACATGGTTTGCCTCTCTATAAACATGCAAAAAGGAAAAAGTATCCATAGCTGTCAAATCTACGACATGCAACTACATAGACTGTAACTCCCAAGGGATTTTTTGTTCCAAATGATACCATTTGATCATGGTTTGCCTCTCTATAAACATGCGAAAAGGACAAAGTACCCATGGCTGCCAAATCCACGACCTGCAACCACATAGACCGTAACTCCCAAGGGACTTTTTGTTCCAAATGATACCATTTGATCACATTTAATGAGTTCCCCTCAACTGTGCAGCTAGAATTCAAATCTTTCTCAAAGAAGATTTTCAGTCCATATAATAGAGCACTTAGAATTCAAATATTTTTCAAAGAAGATCTTCAATCCATATAATAGAGCACTTAATTTTGCAAAATTATTAGTATTGCTTCCAATTGGTCTGGCAAATGAGAAAACGACATTACTATAGCAATCACACAGAATCCCACCAATCCCAGCCCGCCTTGGGTTAACAAAAGAGCTTTCATCAAAATTTAACTTGTAACTTCCAAGGCATGGAGCAATCCACACACTTCTTGGTTTAGATTTTCTAAGATCGAGAAAGAACAAAATGTTCAGATCGGCCATCACATCTACCTTACTAATACCACAACCTTCTTTATGCACAAATAACCAAGCCCATATTGTAGATTTACAAACATGGATCAAGTGTTCAAAGGAGCAAACAATTCCATCAAAAGTTCTTCTATTCCTTTCTTTCCATACTTCCCAAAGAATAGCCCCTATCGAAATTTTCCAAATTATACGCCTTGTTTTAGGAAGAAAAAGAACTTTAAGTGAAGAAACAATTTCTCCTACGGACTGTGGAAGTGGAATGGAAACACCAATATCTTATAATAAAAAAGTTCATATAAGGATGCTACCTTATTATGTAGAACTACGGATGCCCCTCAAAAATCCATTGGAAAAGGTAGTTTTAATGTTGAAAAACCGTTTGATTGACCATCTTGACATCGAGATGTATGACTATGAAAAATAAAAAGATTTTTAGTCTAAAAAATAGTGCATTTTACAGCATATTATCTACATTGTCCATTTTCAAGATTTTCATATGTTTATCGATGTACTTGATTTTAACCATTTTTGAAATTTTAA